TTATGCAGTAGCGATATCACTCACAACTTTAATGCCAGTAGCTCACAAAGTAGAATTTTTGCTCACAAGACTCCCCAGCTTAGAGGGAACATTGGTCATGGGAAATCGGGAGCTTTGCCTGTTAGTCCATGCCACCTTCTGACTGCTAGGTATCACTCCCTTCTAGATTTATTTCCAATTTTAGCTTATTAACCATTTCGTAGTCTGCCAGGATTTTTTTGTTGGGGGGGGCATTTAAATTTTTAAGGGGGCAGTTAAATTACAGTTAATTAAATTAATCTGAATGCCTGTCTTTAAAGGGGGAGGCTTTGAGCCTGTTTCTAGCCCTTCCTTCCAAGGGACAGGGCAGCGAGCACATCAGTTCCTAGGAAAAAACAGCTCAGAGGGGATCTAAATGTCCCTTCCAAGGAACTCAAAAGGCATTTAAATGCCTTCTGACCTATCTTTTCCCAGGCCCCATGATCCCCCCAACTTCTCCATGGAAGCCCAAGGGGAAGCCACGGTGCTGCTGCCTGTGGGGTCTCTCCTCAAAAATAAGGTTTCTATATACACACGCACATATTGAAAATACAAAAAAATACCCCCCAAAAATAAGTCTACTAGCATGGCTTTTTGTGGGGCGGGGCTTTCAATTAAGTGGGCAGGGCCCCAAAATACCCTGTAGCTACGGGCCTGCAGTCTGCCCCTGTGTTTTTCCTGTTGGATACCTGTGATCAGAGGTCATTTCAGGGGGGGATCGCGGGGGATCGCAGTTCCCCCGGGTGAGGTACGGGAGGGCGGGGCACATGACAAAGCCCCGCCCCCTGCTTCCGGCTGCCCCGCTTCCGGCCTCATTCAGCCAGGAGGAAGGAGGAGAAGAGGGAGGGTAAGTTGCTTCCTCCCCGCCTCTCCCCACCCCTGCCTGCCTGGGGCCAGGGAGGGCCTTCGCGGGGCTTCCTTGCACTCCCGCCGGCCTTGCAGGTCCACCGCCGGGCCTATGGGGCTCGGCAGTGGAGCTGCAAGGCCAGCGGCGGCGGCCGGGACCGTTGGGGGCGGGGTGTGTGGCCTTATGACACACTTCTGGTGATGTCAGGGGGTGTGGCCTTATGACACACTTCCGGTGATGTCAGGGTGTGTGGCATATGCTAATGAGTTATGCTAATGAGTTCCCCTAGCTCTTTTTCTACGAAACTACCCCTGGCTTTACATCATATTCTAAAACGCTGTGCAATTCAGGAATCAAACATCATTTGATGGACACACCCAATTTTAGAAGCATGTACCAAAAACATACAAATATACAAAGGGAGCAGGGATATAATAAAACTGAACGGTTCAGGTACCTTTTTAAAATAAAAGGAATAGGGATGAAGTTTTTTAATTTCCTGTGAGTTTTTCCCCGCAGTTTCCTTTTTCTTTCTCCCCTTCGTATTGCATTATCTAATTGGCTGTGTTATACTGTTTTTATTTCATTGTTCTCTGACTGTGCAAACAGGTTTTATCGCGTGGTTTATTGCATGTTTATGCTGGTCTTTATTGCATCATGTCAGAATTCTACAGTCCTTCTTGAGTCTCTGTGAGAAAGGCTGACGGTAAGAGAAGCAAGCAGATAAATACAAGAGAAGGATGTGCTACTGGAGAGAAGGGAGTTAGGATACCTGAGGTCTGGAAGGGATATACATATATTCACCACAATCCCTTCCAGACCCCAGGCATCCTGGCTCCCTTTTCTCCAGTAGCACACTCTCCTATCCATCTGTCTATCTATCATCTATCTATCTATCATCTGCAGTAGCAGCAGCACCATCTATCTTCTACATACGATCAGTAGCCAAGAGGGACAGCTCATTTTAGGATACACAACCCTAAACAGACCGAGGAGGAAGGAAACTGCAAATGAGACGCAAACGGCCAAGTCTTTTGTGCCCTGGGCATGTGAGGAAAAGGGTGCCAGCTCAGCGCTTTGCCTGTGCCAGGCCCCAAGTTCGATCACTAGCATCTACAGTTAAAAGATCTTAGGCTGGCCAAAATCTTTGCATGATACCCCAGAGAGCGGCTGCCAGACAGAGGAGACGGTGCCGGACTGAAATGGCCAATGGGCTGAGACTGACTCAGCTTCCTCCGTTCCAAAGAGTTTCTTGCAGCTGCCGCTGTTGCTCTCCTCTTTTGGCAGGAAGTGGCTGAATTGAGCTTCTGTTGGGGCCCAAGCCATGTGCTCCTCTCCCCTTCCCCCACGCTCACAACGTATCCTGCATCTTAAAGCTGTAGCAATCTTATTATGGTTCCTGGCCAATCTCCCACCTACCACAGAGATGATGCGGGGCTACTATATTAAAAGGGTAAAGGTAAAGGTTCCTTTGCTCGAAAGCCAGTCGAGTCCGACTCTAGGGTTGCTCGAGCCATAAAAGGTATTCTAGGCCTGTAGAGAGTCTGCCTTCCTTTTGTGCATTTCACTATTCAGAGAGATGCCCCTGCAAAATGTGGGCAGCAGATTCTAGCCTCTGATTCTAGCTTCTTGCACTTTGTATTTATAACAAGGCTTCCTCCTCTGTACCCTTAACAGTTATGCAACTATCAGAAACCCAACAGCTAAAGTGTTACCATTCAGTAAATCTCTATTCTGGGGAAGGAGGAAACTTCACCTATTGGTATCTGCGCCTAACAGCTCCCTAGAAGGCCTACCAATGTCTACTTTAGAAAAATAAATGTTGAGCAGCTTGTATGGTAAAGATGACCAATTAGTTTGCATTGATCAAATCTTAATTTTAAATCATAAACACCAACTGGAGTTGGGAGATCCTGATAGCCGGTTAGGAACTAAGACTGCAATTGAGAGCTGGCATGTGGAGTTATTAGAATATCACATGAAGCTGGCCATAAATTGAATCAGACCCTCAATCCAACAAGGCCAGTATTGTCTCCTCCAGGAGTCCCGAACATGGTGCCCCATGGGCATCATGGTGCCCACCATCACCTTTCCCAGCACCCTCCAAGTGCTTTTAGAAAGTGGACGGGGCCAAATGGGGCTTTTGCCCAGTTGGGCTTCTGATTGGCCATGCAGATTAAAATTGTAACCTGTTAAACAGAGCCTCTGCCTGAAATGCTGAAGAGTTACTGTTAAGAGTTAACACATAACCTAACTTCCTTGACATTTTGTGGCTGGCTCCACCTCCTGCTGCAGCCATTTTGTTGTTGCGCCCACCTCCCTGTGTCAGAATTCCCATGGTGCACACTGGCTCAAAAAGGCTGGGGACCCCAGTCTACTTAGACTGCAGGGATGTCAGCTCCTGGTTGGGAAATTCCTGGAGATTTGGGGAGGGACCTCATCCTGGGGAGGGACCAGAGCAGGGTATCATGCTATAGAGTCCACCCTTTGAATCGACCATTTTCTCCAAGGAAACAGGTCTGTCGCCTGGAGATCAACTGGAATTCCAGATCTCCAGGCCCCACCTGGAGGATGGCAACCCTTTCAGACTGGCCGCGGCTTGCTCGCCAAGATCTCAGGTAGATCGGTCTTTTGCATCACTTGCTGCCCAGCCCTTTTAACTGGAGAGGCCAAGGACTGAATCTGGGAACTTCTCCATGGCAAGCCAATGCTCCACCACTGAGGTACAGACCCCTCCCCTAAGACCTGGGAAGACTGGGTTTGAATTCCCACTTCTACACTGAACTTTGCCAGAGGACTTTGGGCCTGTCACCCTTTGTCGGCCTAACTCACCTTACAGGGTTGTTATGAGGATATAAAACAGAGGAGAATGATGTAAGTCATTTTGGGTCCCCATTGGGAGATAAGCAGGTTATAGATGGAAGTAAACAAACTGAGTCTTTCTAAGTAACCATGTGTGAGATTTATTTGCACAAGTTTATCTGGAGAAATACATCCAAACTTAAAAGTTCTTATTCTCAACGGTAAGACTAGGATGAGGACATTCTAGGAACACACCCTGCACATTACAACACAACAGGCCATGAGGGATATGTGGCCTACTGCCCTAGTTCTTCTATGTGTGTGTTTTAAACACATCTTTTCCCCCCTCCTCCCTGCCGCCCCCCTGCCTCTGCCTCCACCCTAGACCTTTGTCCTCTCCAGATTTTGAAATCTTTCTTAAAGTGGCCATCTATGGCCTTTCTCCGTGTCCCAAAGTAGGAGCCGAGGCTATGCAATTGAGGGGGGGGAAAGGAGATGTTGGGGAAGGGAAATGACCCCCCCCCTTCCTTCTCTTAAATGGAAAGCATGTGTGCACATCAGCAGGGGCAATTTTTAAACAAAACGTTTGTGTGTATTTCTGAATTACTCCAGGATGTGTTCCACGAAATGTGCGTCTGTATTTGACACAAGGAAAGCAAATAACATTGCTCCACCAAACTGGCTGTCTTCTAAACCTGGCGCTCCTATGCAAAACTGCTCCAATCAAAACGGAATTGATTTCAATGGGTTTACATCACACAGGATTGCAGTGTACGCCCTTACCTGCCAATAAACTCCATTGGACACCGCGGGGCTTCCTTCTGAGTAGACAGACACAGCATGGCACTGAAAACAGTTCACAAATAGCATTTGAATTACAAATTAGCTTAAAAATTACAGATAAATGACGGAGATTATTTTTTCCTGTTTCACGTTACATACTAAAAAAAACTAAACGTGATACGGCATATGAGAGATATGTTCTAAATAAACAAATAAAATATGAAATCGCTCCCCCCCATAAGACAACCAGACAGCTTGAAGGGGGGGGGGGAATCATACAGACACACCCTTGCGAGAAGGGGGGGGGACGAAGAGGAGGAAAGAAATTCCCCAGACAGAGGAGGGGAGGGGACAGATGCCCGTTTGCCCGGGGGGGGGGGGAGATAGAGCTGAATAATAGGCTGCTAGCCCGAGCTGAGGGTGGCCGGGCGCTAGCTGGGGGAAGGGAGGGACAGACAGACAGACAGACGTGCGGCCCCTTTAAGGGGGCGGGTGGGGGGAGCTGGAGACGGAGCCAGCGGCACCGGCGGCCGCAGCAGTAATAGCACAGGCAGCGGGACAAAGGGGCCGTCTTGGGGGGGCAGCAAAACCGGATCGGAACCGGGATCCGCCTTGCTTTGGAGTGCTGGAAGCGGAGTGAGGCAACTGCACCGGGAGGAAGGGTTGGGCGGACAGCAAAACCGGTTTCCAGCGTTGGAAGGGGAGGGGGAAAAATAATAATCAAAGGAGGAGTTTAGACTCCGGTTCTGATTCGGTGCCAACTGTCTCTCCCCTTTGCAAGAGGAAGGCAAAATCTCGATCCGGTTTGCACGTGGTTTCGGACAAGGAAAGGAAGGAACGGAGGGCAGCAAGGAGGGGAAACCCCTGTCTGTGATCCTTGGCCGGTTCGGAGACTCTTAAATTCGGTTCGGGACAGGCAAGAAGTGGACGCACTTTCTCTCCAGTTTTCCCATCGGGGGGAGGAACTGAGCAAGGAGAGCGAGAAAAGGAAGCGGATCCGATTCTGGTGCCGGTTCGGTTCCTCGGTAGGAAGTGCGGAAGGTCCGGTTGCTGCTAGCACGTGGCGCCGGTTCGAGAAGAGAAAAGCTCCCTATAGCCCGGGAACAAAACCGAAAAGCGGAGCCCCTCCTTTTTTTCTCCCCCCCCCCCCCTTCTTTCTTTTCTTCCCCTTCTTTTTGTGCTCCGGTGCCGATCGGGTTCGGATGGCGGCTCCTTGCAGCCCGGAGAGCGGCCCGGCGGCCACAGGGGGGACGGGCCCCCGGGTGTATTTCCAAAGCCCCCCGGCGGGAGAAGGGGGCACGGAGGAAGAGGAGGGCCCGGTGCGGCGCCAGGGCAGAGTGACTGTGAAATATGATCGCAAAGAGCTCCGTAAGCGGCTCCACTTGGAGGAATGGATCCTGGAACAGCTGACGGTGCTCTATGACTGCCAGGGCACACCCCCCCCCCCCCAAAAAAACCCTTCCCCCCCCCCCCACAGGAAATCAGAGCCCCCCCCCCGCATCCATTCTGGCACTTGGGTACGATGGAGAGCAAGATTTGCATTGACTGATCTGAAAAGGCCTCGTGTTTCAATTCCTGAGTCAGAGCCCCCCTCCCGCAGCCTCCTCCCACCTCGACCGGTGCCCACCCTCCTCCAAGCACCGGACAGACCCCTCGCCCACCACCCAGAGAGGCGTCCAAGGCCCTGGCGGCAGCTACGGAGGTTGGCGGCCAAAGCCCAAGACGGAGGAGAAAAGAGGCCCCCGCCCCCCCTCGCGCAGCAACAGCACAGAGAGTCGACATCGTCCACCCCCCCCTCGTGTATTCCACACT